AGAGAGAGAGAGAGAGAGAGAGAGAGAGAGAGAGAGAGAGAGAGAGAGAGAGAGAGAGAGAGAGAGAGGACATGAGTGTGTTGGATTTCGGCGGCCATAGCGACCTTAGGCCACCTATGCTTGATGTTCGGACTATTGGAACAATTTTTAAAATTGGAATAATAATTTCCAAGTTTCTGCTGGTACCTCTCTCATTGCGTTGCTTTCCGAGTACCGTGTGGACTTTGAGTGATGGCATGGATGCGAAGTGGGAGTCAGATTGATTCAGAGCATTCAGGTCATTGCCCTGGCATCGTCGCAACGTCCCATCGGCGTTGAGGAGTAAAGGGCCGGTGCGCAATAAAGGGCTGAGGGTGCGGTTGGATGAGTGACGGCCTTGGGGGGAAGAACCGGCGGACTAAGTAAGGTGAAGGCCAAATTGAATATGGAAGTGGCCAAGAGGGTTGTGCAAGGTCAGCGAGAAGGAAGATCCACCTGAAGATTCTCGGAGCAGAATCGAGCATTATCAGGTGGAAATGGAGTGGGCCAATTCTTTCCAATTCTTTTGAAGTCAATTCTTGTTGTAGTCAACTAGTAGGTTTAGGGTAGGAACATTAGCGCATATAACTCGTGGTCGTAACCTGTTGAAGGAAAGGCATTCTCCTGTTCTCAGGGAGTGGATAAGATTGCATGCCTGTTGGAGGGCCTAGAAACCCCCTATGGAACATATCTCTGTCTGCCAGTGGTTGATTCTTGTAAAGGAAAGGCTCTTTCCTGCTTTGCAGAAAGAGTGGGCAGGCAGCGTTGGATGCCCGCTAGGGGGACTTAGAAACCTCACGTAGACCCTATCCGTGTGAAAGGCAATCGTGAGATTGTATCGGCCCTAGCTATGTTCTGAGGGTCTAGGGGAGATTAGGAGACACCGTCAGCCTGCGTCGTCCTGTTTGCGACATTAAAGAATTCCTGAGGAGTTTGCGCGTTGTCCTTGAACTGCTGGCTGGAACAAGGAGGCACGTGTTCGATCATATCCCAGTATATTGAATTGTAGTGTGTCAAACACTGGCCAGGGGTAGAAGCTAACAGTAATTGTTTAAGCACCTGTACATGGGAGACCATAGAGCATTTTTGCTTTTGCAATGCTCAGGTCGAACTAGCAACGGCAGGGGTGTTTTGTAAAAAAAAAAAAAAAAAANTCTCTCTCTCTCTCTCTCTCTCTCTCTCTCTCTCTCTCTCTCTCTCTCTCTCTCTCTCTCTCTCTCTCCTCTTGTTAAGCAATAATGCCTTGTATAGGCGATGACCCGCAACAGTGACTAACGTCGTATATATTATACGATATATATATATATATATATATATATATATATATATATATATATATATATATATATATATGTTTCACGTTCAGTGTCAATACAACGACACAAGGAGACCGCCAAAGTCGGATGTGTCACCGGCGACGTATGGCAGACACATCCATACTTTCCACATCGCATCGGAATGCAGTGTTCCGCGATGATTGCAGAGTATTGTGCACTGAAGCGGACGGACAATTTCAAAAAGCTCATCTCTGGGTTGCGTATAGAAAACACGTGTTGAGAAGTACGAACTCGAAGCGGTTTTTCGGAGCACGATGCGTATATGTATGATCGAATTTCGAAAATAGTAAATCTCCGTCATAAAATGCACAACAGTATCATCGTCAACCAAAACGACGTAGTGCTTCGTTTCCAGCCTATCCCTCCAATCCAATGCGGTCCATTCTCCGGGACCATCAGCTCTGACAGGGTACGTGAGGAAATAGTAGTCCGCTGACCGATTGTCCGGCAACCACGAACTGTGCGACAAACCGATGATTCTGGAAGCCATGTTCGATGAATATGTCAACTTCCTGCAAAAAAAAAGAGAGAGAGAAAGAGAGAGAGAGAGAGAGAGACAGACAGACAGACAGACAGACAGACAGAGACACAATCAATAAACATATGTATTACTTATGGCACTTGGCGAGGTGCGTGGCCCGCATATGGTATGCCGTCTCGCCGCCACAACCACACTTTAGCTGTTACGAAATGATTGTGCGTTTTTCGAGGTGACGGAACGGTTTGACGTTTGCGACGATGAAACATTAATATCACATAAGGTTCGCAAAGACGTCGGTGCCTTTGTTGTGCTCCCGGTTGGGTAGCGGCCACATACGGGGCAACGACCCTGACTGTCACATCCCGCATTCCCCGTTCTAGATAAACGTATTTTCGTACGTGGACCGTTCATATTTGGATGGGTCGCATTTGGTGCATGGGTTTCGTAATCACGAAGTGCATTCTCCTTATCCCGCACGTTGTTCCTGCAACCCAATCTCTTCATGCATTGCTTGCAAATTTGTCGCAGTGCTCCGAACGAGGTCCGTAGCTGCATGCGACCGTTTTCTAGCTGTTTCGAGATTCTTCATGACATCTTGGATAACTCGTCTTGCGTCGTTCAATACTTTCTCGTTCGACATATCCGTATGCATTGAACTTCAATATTTT